ACCACCTCATCTCTAAGCGTTGCCACTTCCCGGCCACGATGAGGCACCTTGCCTTCGGGAAGAATTTTACGCATAGAGGAGAAAAATAAGCCTCTCAGAAGATTATCCCGATAACGCTGGAATTTCATGTCACGCATCCGGTTGGCATTGGTATTTCCGATAATAAACTTTTCTACGTGTTGTTAATAAATAACGTAATAAAATGACGCTAACAAATGAAAGTAGGCATGAAAATACTTGAATTGGATTAACAGTTATGTGTTAAGCAGACTAGTGAAGAAAATTTAGGTGAAAGCTTACGAGCGAACTTATCACTTTTAGCTAAAAATGTTGGAGAACGAAAATTTGAATAAATTCTACGGTATCTGTTTCAATCAGCAAAATGAGCTATTGATTTTGTGGGTGCTGATCACTAGAGGAAGCCTTGAGGTAAGCTCATCCATCTTTTCCAACACATACATTTTAATTTTGTTTCAAAATGCATCTAACTGTCCATCGCTCTAAGACTTTCATGGCCAACCACTGATTTATGCTGACTGTTTTTATGCGTTTTTGCCATGCAGCGCTAGAGCGCTGCAACAGGCAGCAAAAACGTATATTGCAACGACTCTGTCAGTGTATGTGTGTATGTTTGTGTGCATGTGTTCGTCTGTCCGGGTATTCAACTCGCTAATCACGCAAGATTCGAAGCTGAAATTTTGCCAGTGTGTTCCCCAGCCAGGTACCACTCCAGGACCGCGGTTCCAACCTCACGCACGTCTGGGCCCACGCACGAGCACGTGAAAGTTTTGGCGCGAAAATCGTCAACTCGGAAACGAGAAAAGCTAGAAAGCTGAAACATTGAGAGAATGTTCCCTACCCATGTATGACAAAAAGGTTTCAAATTCAACTGCCCAGGAGTGCCCGAGGCTTACGTACGGGCACATGAAAATTATGGCGGGAAAATTCGTAACTCGAGAATGAGGAAGGCTAGAAAGTTGAAACTTTGGAGAAATGTTCCATATTCATGCACAACTGTCGCGAAAGCGAGGAAACAACGCTGATCGATTAGGGCAGTTTATTTGCCGCCCAGTGAGGTGGGCGGGAATGCACTTTAGGGATATCAACACAAGGGGTTCATCGCCGAAGCCTTTACCATTCGGAAGAGACGGTTCGAGGAGCAGCGGCGCATTGCAACAGCAGGGGATTCGAAGGAAACGGTTCGAGGAGGCGGCCGATCCCAACAGCGGCGGATTCAGAAGAAACGGTTGGAAGAAACGGACATCGCAGCAGCGGCGGGTTTGGGAAGAGGGAGTTCGAGGAGAAGCGGCTGATCGAGGCAGCGGCGGACTTGGCGACAGCAGCGGTACTTTGCAACAGAAGCGGTACTTCGCGACAGCGGCGGCTTTGAAAGACTGTTGGTGATTATTTTGAAGTGTTCGACTCAGAGATAAATATAATCGATAATTTTGCCACAATCTATTTCGAGTACAACAACCAGAAGTTTTCAAACTCAGCTTCTTAAGACCGCCAGGGGTTCATGTACGGGCACGTGAAAATTTTGGCGCGAAAATCACTAACCCGGAACGGGAAAAGCTAGAAAGCTGAAGCTTTAAGGGAACGTTCCCTACTCACGTACGGGCAAAATCAGGTGTTTAGAAGCGCCCGAGCCCACGTACGAGCGCGTGGAAATTTCGGCGCGGAAACCACTAACCCAGGAAGGAAAAAAGCTAGAAAGCTGAAACTTTAGGGTAATGTTCCCTACTCATGTATGACCAAAAGATTTTAAATTCAGTCCCTTAAAACCGTCCAATACTCACATACAGACAAGTGAAAATTTTGGTGGGAAAACTGCTAACTCAGGAACGGCAAAAGCTGACGCCTTTAATTTCAAGAGAGTGTTTCCTGCTCATGTGCGACTAAAAGATTTTAAACTTAACTCTTCTAGTGTGGCTCTTAGTACCACATAGTTGCACAGTTAACTTCCCGAACTCCGAGGGCCAGTATTTCACAGGGTTAGTTACTTGGATTCCTTGCGATCTTGCTACAGCACACAAAGGCTGGAACGCACCAGGCGAGCCGGTGCGATCATGCGTTTTTGCATCAAAACTAAAGT